CTCTTCTGCTCAACAAGGCTGCATTTATTTGATCCAAAGTACAGCAAAAACAGTAAAATTTTGAAATATTTGTACTATTTAAAATAACTCTCTATTTGAATATATTTTAAAATGTAATTGATTTCAAAGATTTCAAAGCAACATTTATCTGAAATAGAAATCTTTTGTAACATTATAAATGTCTTTATCGATAAATTTAATACTTGCTGAATAAAATATTAATTAAAAAAGAAGAAAAAAAAAGAAAAATCATACTGACCTCAAACTCATGAACAGTAGTGTATGTTATTAAGATTATGTATTTTAAGTTAGATGACAGTTACATCAATACATTACTATTTCTGCTCATAGTAACTCGTAGCTATAAGCATTGAATTATGCCTGTTAACTGGCATACAAATTGTCTTAATCAATACTTTAATTAAAATAAACTAAATGTCTTCTTCGGCGCATCAAAGGTTTTGCACAAGCTCTGGATTGCCAATTAATTTACAGAATGTTAGTCTCGCAAGTCTATTATTACTGCTTTTGCTGTATTTTGTATCAAATAAATGCAGGCTTGGTGAGCAGAAGAGAATTCTTTAAAAAACATAAAAAATCTTACTGTTCAACATCTTTTGACTGGTAGTGTATATTAAAATGGTTAATACTTCATTCAAATTAATTAAACACTTTTAAATAGACTGCAGCAATCATATTTTGCCACACATTATTTTGTTTAGTTCAGAATCGTGGGAGAATCGTGATCTCTATTTGAGACAAAAAAAATCGTGATTCTCAAGTTATCCAGAATCGTGCAGCACTAGTCGTGTTTTTGTTTTTTTTTTTGTACTTGAGTGCAATAAATTTTGGTTGAAAAAATGAGAATCGTGATCTCAATTCCCATGGAGAAAAATCGTGATTCACATTTTAGCAAGAATCGTGCCGCCCTAACATGATCCTTCAGAAATCATTCTAATATGCTGATGGTGTGAATGTGCTATGAATGGTGATGGTACATCTAACTGTATTATTGAAACTGCATTTGTAGCAATGCCAGCGGAAATCTGATTGGCTGAGCCGCATTCAAAGCCAGTGTAAAATAGCCGATAAACACATACCTGTGACCACACATCAGTTAAATTTTATATTACATAGTCTATATAAATATCATAAATGTATCTTAGTTAGAACTAATGAACTGTATCACTTGGCAGAATTTATTTAAATTGTATTTAATTTATTTAAATGTAATAAAATTTTACATTTTTGATTTTTGTACATTTATTGAGAAAAAAATTATCATTAATATTCTTTTATCATAATAATATATGGTAATGTGGGTTAATATTGGAAACTGATTTCAGAATGATATGATTCTACCCTTTTGAAATATTTTAATGTGCATATAATCTATAAACCTAAAATAAATTTCCTGAATACAACTTTAAAATTATAATATCCATTATATCTCAGTCATGAAATGTCATAATATGCTAAATAAGTGCTGTAAACAGCCACTGGGTGGATTCAGTAGGTGAAACACAGTAACACCTCATAGATGCTCTTTTATTGGTCTCTAAAGGATGTGGTGCATTTGTTGCCTTTTTAAATGACATTTTCATGATTTATTTGTTTGTTTGACAGGAATGGATTTTTCTTAAAGTGTCTAACTACATCTTCACTGTGATCTTTATGGCTGAGATGACTATGAAGGTAGGAAATTAATACAATATTGTTAATTGATTTAATAAAGGCAAACATTTTAGTTTAGTAACTTATAATACAATAATAATAAAAGGTAGATTCAGGTCAACATGCTCATGACTGATTATTATGTTGTTGGTGTTGTAGGTGGTTTCTCTTGGGCTGTATGCTGGTCCAGGCTCGTACCTGAAGAGCAGCTGGAATGTTCTAGACGGCCTGCTGGTATTTGTGTCTATTGTGGACATCCTGGTCTCTCTCGCCTCCTCTGGCGGGAACAGAATCCTGGGTATCTTACGAGTACTTCGACTGCTCAGAACACTAAGACCCTTGAGGTAAGACTCTTATTGAAGGTGTGTGTGGGTGTGTATGAATGTGTAGAAGTACATTAAGTCCTCTATTGTAGGCTGTTGTAATATTCTTAAAGGGGTAGTTCTCTCATCTTTCTTCTGAGGAACACAAAAGAAGATGTTTAGCAGAATGTTCATACTGCTCTTTTGCAATATAATGGAAGTGAATTGGGGCCTGAGCTGGTGAACTCCAAAAATTCTCAATAAAAGTAGTGGATACAACTCTGGCACCATATTTCAATTAATCTGAAATGGTGATGATGCACCACAATTTTGGCAACCAAAATTTAGGCGAAAATAAATTTTCGGCTTTGCCTGAAAAAGTTTTGGTGGGCCGAAATCGTTTACTGACACGGTTACAGAACAGCTGGATTGATGATACTGATTTCTCATTTTTAATCAATCTTCAGTTTGATGAACCAAGATCTTTTATTCTACAGTATGCTGTTTTCAGCTGATGCATGAACAGAAATTCACTAAACATTATATTTAGCGAGCCTATCATACAAAAATCCTGCTAAACCTTGTAGGGTTTTTTTTTTTTTTTACTTTTGATATTATTTAACACACGTTTGAATAAATCATGAAAACAAGTTTTTATTACAGCTACCATTTAAATGTTCACATTTCAACAAGGAATTGTAATAGAAACTTAATTATATCATTAAAAAGTTTATATAAAAACTGACCTGTGTGTAAATTAAATGCATACACAGTATATACAACTCAGTTTTTTATTAAATTATTAGTTTTTATCTCAGTTTCCGGTTTTAAATAAATTAGATTAATTAATTGATTATTAAATAAACTATTTTCTGTTTCATTTATCGGCTAAATGAAAACTTTAATTTCGCTTTCGGTATTTCGGTAAAAAATGAATTATGGTGCATCACTATTCTTAACTCGTACTGTAATTTTGTGAGGAGTAGACCTAAATTAATTTGTATATGCTAAAAATCTTTGCCAAAACTCTCAAATTTCATTTGCACTTCAAGCCAAAAGCTTGACTTTGATCAAAAGAAAAAAGAATGTAACCCTAAATTTTATAATGCTGCTGTCCATGGTGCTGAAACCACATTTCATCTCTTGTTATTGTCAGGAAACTATTCCGCTAGACACATCTGAACAAAACCGTGCAACTCTCAGACAGCAAGATATTCTGCTGAGCAGACTTACCTATTCATTTCAAGGCTAACACTAGAGAACATCTTGTCTCGTCAGCTTGTTGTGCAACACTCAGTCCTTTTATTAACAGCAGCTTTCTAGTTCAATGGTTTTGCATTGAGTTCAGATATTGTTGCCACACTAAATATGCATTTCTTTGTGTCTGTTTGTGTTATCAGGGTCATAAGCAGGGCTCCCGGACTGAAGCTGGTTGTTGAAACATTGATCACATCTCTCAGACCTATTGGAAATATTGTGTTGATCTGTTGTGCTTTCTTCATTGTCTTTGGCATTTTGGGAGTTCAGGTACACACACATTGCTAGTGTCTACATTTTTTAAAGAAGACAAAATCGGAATTCATTTCATTTTTATTCACTTTTATGAATGTTTATTTATTAGATCAATTGTTTGCTTTGTAATGAGCAGTTTATTTGTAATAATGCTGTCTAAATGTAAGGTGTTTTTCTTTTGTTCAGCTCTTTAAGGGGAAGTTTTATCATTGTGAAGGCTTTGACACTAGAAATATCACCAATAAATCTGAATGCCTGCAGGCTAAATGCAAATGGGTCCGTAGGAAGTACAACTTCGATAACCTGGGTCAGGTAGGACGCTCACACTCACTCACACTTACAGTACACACACACACACACACACACATATAGAGGTAGACATTAAGGGGGAATTCATGAAGAATTAATTATGTCCACTGGTGGCGTCTTTTATTAAAATAATCAACCTTCCCATTTGCCCTTTTTCTAAACCATCAAGCAACCCATTATATTTTAGATTCAGGTCACACAAGCACATTTCATCAGAATGACAGGGTTCTGGTGGACAGTGTTTCTCATTGCTCTTCTGTTGTTTCATATGTGAAATCTGTGCTATTCTTAGTTTAGACATGCAACTTTAATACCATCATGTAATTAATTAAATTATGTTTCACATCCAACATGTGCTTGATTTGAACATCAAGTGCTGACAGTTCAAACAATGAAAAATTTACACTACCGTTTTTTTGGGGGTCAATAAGATTATTATTTGAAAGAAAGTAATACTTTTATTCAGCAAAAATACATTAGATTGATCAAAAGTGACAGTAAAGACTTGTACATTGTTACAAAACATTTTAAATAAATGTTGTTCTTTTGAACTTTCTATTCATAAAAAAATTCCTAAAAATGTATCACAAATGTATCACGTTTTCCACAAATATATTATGCAGCACAACTCTTTTCAACATTGATAATATGATAATATGAAATGTTACTTGAGTACCAAATTAGAATATTAGAATGATTTCTGAAGGATCTTGTGACACTGAAGAATAGAGTTATGGCTGGCATCACAGGAATAAATTACATTTTAAATTATATTAAAATAGAAAAGAGTATTTCACAATATTACTGTTTTTATTGTATTTTTGACCAGATAAATAAGCATAAGAGACTTCTTTCAATAATATAAAATAATCATATTGACCACAAACAATACACTTAATGGAGAAAATTCAATTCAAGACATATTCTTTAAAGGGGTCATATGATGCGATTAAAATGTTTCCTTTCTCTTTGAAGCCCGCCGGCCGCGCCGTTCTCAAGCCCACCGGCCGTCGCTCAATCAGCATGCCGGCCTCCGCTCACTCTAGGCCGCCGTCACTTTTTTTTTTTTTTTTGCTGTGCAGTGGCTCTCAACTGAGCAAAATTGTGTTCATCTCACCTTCCCCTCAACATTGTACAGATATTCATGTTGACAGTGATACAGTAATTCTGTAAAATATTCTCTTATTCACATAAATTCATTTTATCTATGTTTTGCAGGCACTGATGTCATTATTCGTCCTGTCATCTAAATTTCGCACTGAAACACAGTGTCTCCCTGACATGGCTGCATCAACACTACTGCTGTTCCTGAAACCACGCCTTCTTTCTTTGCGTGCACATTTGGGCGGCATTATGCTAATATTTCTACATAGTGATGTAGACATGTGGGGGCGTGTTAGAACGAGCCGTTTTAGGTAGGCGTGGTTGACTTAACTTTTATAAAGAATATCTCTTTCTCTTTGGATTTGAGACTTTAGTCTTTGCAACTTTACAGATCTTCTTTATGCACCAAGAGCTTGTAACACTCCAAAGAGAAAGGAAAACTTGAAATCGCATCATATGACCCCTTTAACACTCTAAAACACTATTGCAATGGTATAGAAACCACCTAGAACACACTAGCAACTATATAGGATTTAGTACACTTGAGCAACTACATAGCAACACCCTGGCAACCACCCTCATCTCCCTATCATCAAGGATGTGAGATTTACACAAGTAAGTAATATTCACAATACCATTAGTGCACCATGTTACTGCCACAGTACTGTTTGTAAGGGTGCCCGAACTGGAAACTGAATTAGTTAGCTGTCTCAGGACATCACTTGCTCTCTCTCTTGCTCTCTCCCTCCCTCAAATGCTCACAAAGCTTGTCTCAAAGACACCTTGAGCAGTCTTGAGCCATGATGGATGTGGGGGGACGCTTGGCTGGACATTTATAACGTCCCTCAGATGACTCGACTGTTTGCTAACTGTGACTACACACACACACACACACACTGCTACATTAGCAATTTACTGCCCAGACAAAAACTGGGTCAGTGTGCTTGTGTTTGACAGGGACAACAAAGTAGCCTATACAGTGCACTAACAACACACAGCCTGCCCTTGAGTTATTTTCAATGAAACCTCGCATATCTTGTGAATATTAACAAGTATTCAGTTCAAATCTGTATTACAAAACCGACATTTTTAAACCTAAAAACTTGAGCGAGGATGTTCACAGCATCCTGTGATGCAAGATGAGTGTGAGTACCTGAATGACCTGAATACACCCTAATGAAGGTGTTCTATTGTTCTCTGTGTGTTTGTTGTCTTTTAGAGGCTCTGCAGAGACCGTACTATGCAGACTACTCTCCAACACGCCTCTATATTCACACATTCTGCACTAGCCATTATCTGGACCTCTTCATCACCATCATCATCGCCATTAATGTGCTCACGATGTCAATGGAGCACTACAGACAACCCAAGGTTTGGTGTATTACACACACACTCACACACACACACAGACGTCACTTCTGCAGAGCAATGACACTATCAATATGTTAACACAAACCTGTTTGTATTAATAATATAAATTAGTAATTTTTATATTTTCCATTTTAGTTTTGTTGTGTTCTAGTCATTTTTATTAGTTTTTTTAATCTTTTTAATTTTATTAATTTTTATTTTAGTTTTAGTAATTTTAGTTACCTTTAAACGAAAATGAGAAATTTTACTTTCACAACTAACTGAAAAAAACTTGCATTTTTATGTTCTATTTTATTTCTGTGAAAGTTTTATTACAATTAATTATTTTTTTTAGTCATTTTATTTTTAGTTAAAGATTGCACTGGTTCACTCCCATACTTCTATAATCAGATGTTATTCAGAGCGAAACAGTATTTAATATAAACAAATACAGAGTTATAATTGATTTTATGCATCGGAAATTGTTTGGACCATGAAAAATTGGAATTGCATAATAAATTGACATCAGATGGTGTTGAAAAATAAGAGGTATTGGTGATGTCAATCGAAAAGAAAAGTTTTTTCAGAGGCAGAGCAATTTATTACATTTTGATAAAAGATTTTGACAAAAACATATATTTTTTTACAATATGAATAACCTGCACTGATGCATTATTCAAAATAAGACCAGGACTGTATAAATAAATGGTCAATTTTAAATTTCTGTTGAATTGAGAGTTTAATATTCCAGGTGTCTGACTGTCTTTATTTGTGTCTGTGTTTCTCAGTATCTGGATGAAGGTCTGAAGTACTGTAATTATTTCTTCACACTGGTCTTTGTGATAGAGGCTGTGCTGAAATTGGTTGCGTTTGGCTTTAGGAGATTTTTCAAAGAGAGGTAAGGCTCCGTCATGTGGACACAATGCGGAAATACAGCATGTTTTCTAGACAGTAAGTTCACTAGTTGGTACATTTCTGATATTGACATTTCAGCACGGATCTGTTCTCAGCACAGTAGTCATGGATTTCAAGAAGCAATGAGAAAACAATTGCAATAAGTTTAGTTTCGTTTTACTGGCATGTTGCAGTTCAACTAAAATGCATCAATTATAAACTACTGTTCAAAAAATTAGGAATATATTTAATGGTATATATCACCATTGCTGATTATTTGAAAATACAACAAAAACAGTAATATTGTGAACATTATTACAATTTAAGATTATTGTTTTCTATTTAAATTATAATTTATTCCTGTGATGGAAAGCTGAATTTTCAGCATCATTACTTCAGTCTTCAGTGTCACATGGTCCTTCAGAAATTATTCTAATATGCTGATTTGCTGCTCAAGAAACATTTCTTATTATTATCAATGTTGAAAGCAGCTGTACTGCTTAATATTTTTGTGAAAACCATTTTTTTAGGATTCTTTGATTAATAGAAAGTTCATAAGAACAGCAATATAGCAGAAATATATTTTTTGTGACAATGTAAATGTCTGCTGTCATGTTTGATCAATTTAATGCATCCTTGTTGAATAAAACGAATCATTTATTTTAAAAAAATTAATTTCATTTAATTTAAAAGACTTTTACATTGTTACAACAATTCTATTTCAAATAAATGTGTATATTTATCTGTGATTTATTACACAAATAAATACAGGGATGACTTGCGTTTTCTCACTGCATCAAAATATGTGAATGTGCTTTTGAATTATTAACAACTTTTGAGACTATTATTATCTAGCGTAGTGTTAGTCCTGGCAGGTCACGTTAGTCAAGCTCGCATCAGCTGACTCTCAGCTGATCCCCATCTACCTATGGGAATACTACACCTATCTAAGCATTCATATATAAGGTCCCTCAGTATTATCAGCAGTTTTCGCATTGCTCAATAACTAATTACCCTTCTCCATCCCCAACTCCTCCTCTGTCAGTCAGATTCAGCCTTCTGATTCTCCTTTGAATCAGACTAATTCTAAAATGTGTACATAACATTATTGAACTTTAACAGTATCTGCAATACATTTATGTTGGTTCTGTTCTGTTTACCCTGGGGGGGTTATCCCTGCTCTCCCTGCTCTCATCCATGCTAGGCTGCATGGAGGCGCAGGGAGTTCTTGCCCAGAACAGAACGATACCGCCAATCCAAACTGTATGCTAATTGTCAATCATCTTTGACGATAGTGGTCCTGACAGAACTATTGTTATGCTGATTCACAGTTATATTTGGTGTAATCTCAAAGTGAGGATGGATGGTGTCTGTGATGCCGAAACTATCAGTGTCAAACTGCGTCTTGAGCCACGGTGCTTTTCCAACCCTCCTATAAAACATGAGTGTTGCACAAATATTTCAAACCTGTCAGTCATTGATTGAAATCCTGTTGCTCTGTCAGCATCGCATATCATGCAAACGTGAAAACTTGCAGCCCATGTTCTAATATAGTATCAACTCACTGACTGAAGTGCTATCATAGAGAAAGGTCACATGATGTCATGAATAATAATGAGACAAGGCCTTCTCTTAAAATAAGGCCATGCAGACTCATGAATAATTATGAGACACCTTTGTGACACATCCTGTGACGTTGACAGAGAAAAATAGCCCCAAAAGTCTATAAATTAATAACTTTCCTCTATAAATTAAAAATACGGGATGCTAGCATTCTCTTCCATTGTCTTTCCTTCGTGTTCCATGGCTCTTTAAGCTTAAAATAAAGTTTAAGAAAGAAAGAAAGTGTTAAAGCAAGACCTTTGCTTTAACAGTCTCAAATGGTCAAGTTTAGCTCTTTTCAAGAATATTAAATGGTTTCATAGGACCTTGTCTTTATCTCATTGGGTGTTTATGTCTTTTTTCTGTCAGGTGGAATCAGTTAGACTTGGCAATTGTTCTTCTCTCCATTATGGGCATCACACTTGAGGAAATTGACCTGAATGCCTCACTACCCATCAACCCAACCATCATTCGCATAATGAGGGTGCTGCGCATCGCCAGAGGTACCAAATACATGAAGACACACACACACAAGCTGTGACAAGTGAGAAATTAAACAGGGTACAATAGAGAAGTTTCCAGCTTTTCTAGCACCTCTAATAAAAATGGGAAATTTAAAAAGTTTTATTTACTCTGTCGCTCAAAGGTTTGGGGTCAGTAAGATTTTCTTTCTTTTTTTTCAGAAAGAAATTACAAATTTTATTCAGCAAGAATGTATTAAATTGATCAAACATGAAAGTAAAGACATTTATGCTACGAAAATTTCTATTTCAAATAAATGCTGTTCTTTTGAACTATCTAATCATTAAAGAATCCTGGAAAAAAATCACAAAAATATTAAGCAGCACAACTGTTTTCAACATTCATAATAATAAGCAATATTTCTTGAGCAGCACATCAGTATATTATAATGATTTCTGCAGGATCACTGAAAACTGGAGTGAAGGCTGCTGAAAATTCAGCTTTGCATCACAGGAATAAATTACATTTTAAAATATATTCAAATAGAATACGGTAGAGAATGGTAGTTGATTCTTTTTATATAGTGCTAAACAGATATGTATTACAGTTTGGGTTTGTGACAGTAATGTCAAAAGGAGATTTCAGTGATTAAAGATGAATGATATGTGATATAAAATTCCCTTTCAGTGTTGAAGCTGTTGAAGATGGCCACAGGAATGAGAGCTCTTCTGGATACAGTAGTTCAAGCTTTACCACAGGTCAGTAAGTTTATACAGTATGTCTTGTGGTACAGTATATGCTATTTGTATTGAGGAACTACTTCACAGAGACCGTATATGGCCCGAGATGATGGTGTATGTGGCTTTATTCTGGTGATGTTCTGGCTTTCTAGGTTGGTAATCTGGGTCTGCTATTTATGCTGCTGTTCTTCATCTATGCTGCGCTGGGAGTTGAACTTTTTGGCAAACTTGGTCAGTATACCTTTTATTTTCCATTATCATGCACTACTATTCAAAAGTTTGGGGTCAGTAAAACTTTTTAATGTTTTTTAAGGAAGTCTTTTATGGTCACCAAGACTGCATTTATTTAATCAAAACTCTTCTTCTTCTTATCAGTTGTGACTATTGTTATTATTATAGTATTACTGTAACAGTTGTGCTGCTCAGTAATTTTTTTTGGAGGGGGGGGGGATTGGGGAGTAAATGTCTTTACTGTCATGTTTGATCAATACAGTACAATGCATCCTTGCTGAATAAAAGTAATAACTTCAGAATCTTACTGACTTGCAGAGTGAATGTAGTTACATAAAATAAATTACCTTTGGAGATGAAGTATTAAAATAAGTTATTTTTTAAATCAGAATGCACTGAGGAGAATCCGTGTGAGGGATTGAGCAGACATGCTACATTTCAGAATTTCGGCATGGCATTCCTCACTCTGTTCCGTGTTTCCACTGGAGATAACTGGAATGGAATCATGAAGGTATTTTGCGAACCATGAAGATATTCATGCTGCATGCCATAAATGCGTGATTATGGAATGCGGATGTTTAATGTTAGCTCTTAATTAGACTTAAACTCACCTTAATGTCATTCCAAACCCAAAACTCAAATGTTTAAAGGGGTCATAGGTAGGGATGTGCAGGTCTAGTCGACTAAACGGTACAGCTCCTACTAGTCGACACTGAAAACAATAGTCGATTACACGATAGAAAAACAAAAGAAAAACAAAAAGATGATTTTATCATTCAAATTACCATCATTTTAATATTGCATTTAAAACGTTTTAAATAACAAGTTAAAATAAAACGTTTGAAAAATAATACATTATTTTTAAAAGTTTATCTGGGCGAAAACTACATTTTTACCTCAGACCTCACATGCGTTTTCTTCGTGTCAGTTGCAGTGAGTTCAAAAATGACCATGCGAAAGAGGAGAAGGTGTGGGATTATTTTGAATTAGAAGGAAACGGAAAAATTTTGTGTAAACTGTGTAATGTCAAATTGTCTTGATGCGTAATCATATTCAATACAGGCAGGTAGGCGTTAGCTTAGAGGCTGGCCAAAGCCAGCAAATGTCAATCACATCATTCACTACAACCCGTCGGTGCTGCGATCCCATCCGCGCCATCTATTCTTCTAACGAATACCCACTTCGGTGGTGGTGCGGGATGTCCAGGCGCTTTCTGAAACTCTATCAGCTTGCTTTTCGTTATCTCTACGTGCCTGCAACTTCAGTTACTGCCGAGCGCGGTTTTTTTCAAATGCAGGAATTTTATTGTTAATCGCCTCAGGTCCCGTCTTTCACCAGACCACGTTGATAATTTCACTGAACAAATAACACATGGTCTGAGTAAGTAAAATGGGCATTGTTGCATT